CCCAGCTGACCATGCAGCTAGAAAATAGAAGCTACATCATCTACTCTAGCTACAGTCTCAACTAAACTCAAACAGTTCAGCACTAAAAGAAGTTCAAGCCATAAAGACTGGCTTTGCACTATGTCCCTCATCTTTAGAAGCCATTCTAGCCCTTGAGGCCTAAAAAGAGATTATCTCTGCATTCTTTGTTAACTGCTAGATAGAACGCAGCTCCCGATAGGTCTCGTACCAAGTCACCAATGTGCCAAGGAAAATTGGCCAAATCTTGGATGGTTAATATTCTCTAATCCCTATCAATCCTACACTACTATCCTTAGAAATCAGTGAAACTACAGGGCTCAAGCCTATATCTATTAGTGAGACCGCTACAAGTGCTGTCAACCCTGATACTCTTTCCTTAAGCTGGTTTGTCAACTTCCTAGAAGGCACAAAATTATCACTGCCTATCTAGCTACATCTTTTTAGTACTATCATTAATACTTGTCACCTCTCTAAGAGAACAACAGTTATCTAATACACACGATGCTGGAAATAGTATAATGTATAATCCTGTGCCCGCCCCTCTCGATGCTGGCTCTGCGGCTCCTTAGAGCATACTGAAGAGGAATATATTAACCACTGCATAGCCCTGGAGTCTCATTAGTGCCCTCCTAGATGCATATACTGCCATAGATTACATCCAGCTGATTTCCTAGAATGCCTCCTGCGCCCTAAAGGCAACTCTAAATATACTAAAGCTTAACAAGCAGAGATCTGGAAATCCTGTGCTATTAACCTCGCAAAAGCTCGAACTGAAGAAGGATATAGCTCTTAGCTTTCCATTAGTATATAAGAAACATCTATAGCACTAGACGAGATGCCAACTTAGCCTCCAACCTATGAGATTATCTCTCCTTTCCATTCAGTAATCCCTCCACCCCGTGCCCCAACTAAAGATCCTCCAATTACAGCTCGCGCAGTCCACTTTACAACCCCTCAATCACAAAATTGGTTTGTCTCTTTTCTCAAACGGGAGCTATAATCTATTACTATCCAACTTAAAAGGCGCCTCTTAAAATCCTATAGCTAAATGTAGAGCATGTGCCAGATACACATGAAATAGCTTTCACATTAGCATATATAAGTGATAGTGATATTATCCTAATCTAAGAACCATATATATTCAAAGATCTTAGCCAATAGATCACTAAAAAACACCCATCATATGAATGCTTCTCCCCAACTAACAGTTGGGTGATAAGTAGCCAACCACGAGTCCTCACCTATGTTTGAAAGAAGAAAGGCATTTGGACCTTCTAGCTGCACCCTTTCATAACTGACACCAAAGAGGCCTCAGATCTCCTGTTCCTACAGATTTTTCGCCCATAGGAAAGTCTGCTCTAATAGTTAATATCTATAATGCCCTAGCAGGCTCCATTAGAGCAGGTGAAGCCGCGAAAGCTCTTACAACCCTGCCAGAGGCATATCTCCCTCAAGCAACAATACTCGCAGGCAATCTCAATCTACTACACAATAGATAGCAGCCCTCACTATATCGCAGCCCCACACCTTTTGCAGAGCCGTTTATTAACTGGCTGGACCTCCAGGGTCTAGTACTCATCTCTGACATAGACTGTCCCACACATGAAAGGGGTAATGTGTTAGACCTTAGCTTTGCCTTAAGCCCTCTGGCACTCGCGGGAGCTAAAACTAGCATAGCGAGCCACTTAGATGCAATCTCAGATCATCAACCACTAATCACCACTGTTCCATGGGATCAGAGATACAAGGAAACAGCTTAGAAACTGAGATTTGACACACTAGACCACACCTACTTCCTCTCGCTTCTCACCTCTAACCTTGCTAGTATCAAGAGCTCAACCATGACAGAAGAAGACCTCGATGCCCTCGCCGAAAAACTGACATCCACAATCCAAGGAGCATATAGAGACTCTGCCAAGAGAACCCTGACACAAGGCATAGGACAACTATGGTAGAATGAAGACTGCAAGAAAGCTTTACATAATTACCGCTTAGGCCTCTACTCAAAGACAGACCTCCGTCGGACTACTAGATGGTCTCAACGACAATTTTAGCGAGATAAGCTCTCTACAGTATCACAAATGAAGGATGTTTTCGACATAAGTAAATGGCATAAGTCTACAGGCATCTTCCGAAGCCCTCCACTGAAAGATCTGCTAAGGCCTAACAGCCTCCCAGCAGTTGCTGTACATGAGAAACGAGACGTACTAGTCCGCAATCTCCTCCAAAACTTAGCAGAGGCAGGAGATATACCTCTGGACTCCCCAGCAGTCCCTTCCACTAGTCTCTACTTCCCGGATATATCGATGCTACAGGTGGAGGAGTCAGTACTCCAGGCAGGAAACACAGCTCCTGGCGCAGATGAAATTCCAACGTGTATACTCAAAGTGGCATGGCCTTTAATCAAGGATAAGGTACTAATGCTATACCAAGGGTGTCTAAAGATTGGTTATCACCCTAAATACTTTTGACACGCAATCTTAGCAATTATCCAGAAACCAAAAAAGATTGATTGGTCCTCCCCTAGATCATATAGACTAATCACTCTCCTATCAGTTCTTGGCAAAGGACTTGAGCGCTTGGTGGCATAGAATATGGCATGGATCTCTATATACTACAAAGTACTAGCAAGGCAACAGTTTGGAGCTCTCCTACTAAGATCTGTAACTAACCTAACCACATGCCTAACACATGACGTTGAACAAGCACTAAATCAAAGCATGACTGCCTCACTTCTTACCCTAGATGTCAAGGGCGCCTTTAACGCTGTACTCCCTGGCAGACTAACCCGCAGGCTACGCGAGCAGGGCTGGCCTACCAATCTTGTTCTCTAGATTACCTTCTTCGCTACTGGCAGATCAGTTCAGATCCAACTCGATGGAGAGATTGGCCCCTCAACAGATATTGCCTGTGGTCTACCACAAGGATCCCTAGTCTCTAGAATTCTTTTCATGCTCTACATAGCACCCCTATTCTGTCTAGGAAACCCAAGGAACAGATTTGGTTACGCGGACGATGCAGCTAACCTAGCAATCTCTATATCTCTTGCCACCAACTGCAAAGTCTTATCAGACTTACTCTAAGAAGCTCTTAACTAGGGCACCGCAGAGGGCATTATATTTGCACCTAATAAATATGAGCTTCTTCACTTCTCCCAGCATAAAGCAGACTAGGACCTAACCAGCACACCTTCAGTGAAAGCTAGATCAATTATAGTCTTAGAAAATACTAAATGGCCATATCTACGCTAGCTAGGAATTCTCTACGATAAAAAGCT